AATAATTTATATAATAGATAATATTTTACGGAATAGTGTTTAGAATAATGGTATCCCAAGTAACAGTATTGCAAATATGAGCTTCTTTCCTTTTATACTTTTTGTTGCACCATATAGCCACTTTTATCGATAGTATAAGATATTAACATTGTTTGTAAGTGACCGAAAATAGTATCGATAATATAAAACATTTATTTTCTAGGTAAATAACTGGAAAAATCATAGAAGAGTAATTCATATAAGATACTGACTCACTTTGTTTATTTCGAACGAAACACACTTTTCGAATATACTATCTTTTAATCAATTTCGTTGATATGTTTTAGTAATTTCGGTATATTTTAGAAATAGATTTTTAATTGTAAGATATTTTTAAAAATTTTGAAGCGATGCATCATTATCGTTGAGATACTGAAGTATGTAGTTGTATTTCGATCGAGTACTCACTATTCCTTGTAGAACTAGATGTATATGTAACTTTGAAAAAATTAAAAAATTCTCGTTCATTATTAGTAACAGAACGATCTGATACGTTTGAAACTGTAACGATATTTCTATTTCTCGTGCATAGCATAAGTTTCATTAATTTGCTTTTAACAAACGATATTTTATTGTCTTCTTGACTTTGTGATAACCAACGAAATTTCTATTTTGGACGACATACCGCTGCAATAATGCAATCTTCCATATCATCATTCGAATCGAAGCAAACCAAACTGTAAACCTGATTTCGAGTCGCTGATAACTAACTCAGTGGTTCGTGCAACTTTAAACATTGGTTACAAAAAAAGGAAAAATACATTATTTTATATTTAAAGCCGAGAGTAAATAGTGAATAGTATTTTCTCATAGTTTAAACATTCAATGAAATATCTCCAAATAGTATCCCATTTCAGCGTTAAATAAAGTGGTGTTTCCAAATGGTATTTACTTATCCAGATATTTTAATGTTCACTATTATATCAAATTATTTTAAATTTGCTCCAGTCCTGGCTAGTACAACTTCTCTGCAAGCACGGGTATCGAAGCTCCCTGAGGGAGTGGTTTGACGTCAGAGACATCAAATAACGCCAAATGACGTCAGAGAAATAAATATAAAACTATCTTGTCTCTTTGGAAGACGTGGGCCCAGCCCTTTGGTGCTGGAACAGTGTTCCATGGGGCAGACTGGCTGTACTTAGCGTATCTTCTTATCCTAAAATATGTGTCTTCCGAATGCTAAATGCTTGTTGTTAAATTAATAACGTAAGTTTGGCGTATCGGTAGTAGCCACGAGTAATGTAATTTTCTTTTAGTTTGAATAAACTATATTCTAATTAAGATCGACATTTATTGTGCTCGAATTATTAGTGTAAAAATAAAGACAACTTTACTTACACTGATAATACAACAATATGTTCTGTATGTTACATGCTCGCCTGTCTATGAAGTTGGCTGTTTGGAAATCCAACGTGGTTTCCAGATTTGAGCGTATGAATAATATGAAAGTAAAGAATTCGTACGTTTTGTGCACATAGATTGCGGTATATCGTGGTAAAGTGGCGAATATATTAACTCGATTTTTTTGAAAATGTGATTTGGAGAAACGTCTTTGCCTATCTGCATATGTTGTGCAACTATTAAGACGGTTCGATCATGTTAGGTGAGACCAATGTATCGAAACGTTTTCTCCGTTTCGCATCAAGTGATCTATAAAGATAGAAATTTGCGAGAAGATCTGTACCAGTAATAACTTTTTCTTTAGAAAGGCCAGGAACGTATCATACGGTATCGGAGTCCCTAGATTATTAGGTGAAGGTCAAGTTCTCAGTCGTTTACGTCAGATCTAATAGGGGATGAAGGTCGAGTTCTACGCATGACTCGGTCTTTCGAGGGTGAAAACGGTTTCTCCTTAAGAAGTCCTTGATGAAGGTTCTTTCAGAAGAGTCCTTGGCACATTTGCAGATCTATTGATACATCAATACTTTTTTCAAGTACACTTAAACCTTTACACAGTGCTCTGTGTGAACAAAAGTCAACTTCTCGACTTCGATATTTCAAGATATCTGTTTTTCCCCTCAACTGACAACCCTTTGGAACCTTGAGATCCAAAATACTAACCCTTTGCAGTCGAGTGGTGACTCTAAGGTGTCACTAAAAATTGTTATATCACGTTTATCACGTTATATCACGTAAAAATGATTTTAATATCATCGAATTTGTTTATATCTAAAAATACTGTTAAAAGCTGATTGCTGAAATGAGATATTATTTGGAGATATTTCATTAAATGTTTAAACTATGAGAAAATACTATTCACTATTTACTCGCTGCTTTGAATATAAAATAATGTATTTTTCCTTGTTTGTATCCAACGTTTAAAGTTGCATGAACCACTGAATTAGTTATCAGCGACTCGAAGTCAGGTTTACAATTTAGTTTGCTTCGATTCGAATGATGATATGTCGTCCAAAATAGAAATTTCGTTGGTTATCACAAAGTCAAGAAGACAATAAAATATCGTTTGTTAAAAGCAAATTAATGAAACTTATGCTATGCACGAGAAATAGAAATATCGTTACAGTTTCAAACGTATCAGATCGTTCTGTTACTAATAATGAACGAGAATTTTTTAATTTTTTCAAAGTTACATATACATCTAGTTCTACAAGTAATAGTGAGTACTCGATCGAAATACAACTACATACTTCAGTATCTCGATGATAATGATGCATCGCTCCAAAATTTTTTAAAAAATTATTAAAAAAACATATCAACGAAATTGATTAAAAGATAGTATACACTCGAAAAGTGTGTTTCGTTCGAAATAAACAAAGTGAGTCAGTATCTTATATGAATTACTCTTCTATGATTTTTCCAGTTATTTACCTAGAAAATAAATGTTTTATATTATCGATACGATTTTCGGTCACTTACAAACAATGTTAATATCTTATACTATCGATAAAAGTGGCTATATGGTGCAACAAAAAGTATAAAAGGAAAGAAGCTCATATTTGCAATACTGTTACTTGGGATACCATTATTCTAAACACTATTCCGTAAAATATTATCTATTATATAAATTATTATCTCCCGCATTGCAATGAAATACTTATTTCAGGATAGGACTTCTATGAGCCACTATTGAAATATATATTTGAATTGCTATTTCCATATTTAACTACTATTTTCAAAAATAGTTTATTTGTCAAAGTCTGTATCACTTGAGAAAAACACTTCCTACTTCATAAAATATTAATGAAATAGTAATTTCAGAATAGTATTTCTATGAGCCACTATTAAAATATATATTCGAAACGCTATTTCCACGCGTAACTACTATTTCAAACAACAGTCCATTTACCCAATTCCGTATCACGTGAGAAGATAAAACATTTATTTTACTATTTCAAAAATCCATCCTACCCCAACTCTGGTAATAACCATCCACCCCACTCTAATTATTCCAAGCTGCCGTAACACGCGGTCACAAGCAGGGGATAAACAATTGCGAGCCCCCCTAATATTTTCCTTTTGAAAAAGTAGTCTGTGTGGTTACAGTAGAAAAGAGCCGGGGTGCCCTTAAATATTCGATGAGTTGCATTTTTAACGAAGAATTAATATTGCAAGAAGAATGGTACGAGGGTGACATAAACTCCGTTGATTTCAGCTGGAACAGTCGCAGCCGACGGCGGAGCCACCGAGCAACCTTCTAGTGACGGCGAGGGCGAAGCTGAGACCGCGCACGGACTCTCAGTGAATCTTTGCGGGGCGGGCGAGGAGCGCAACGCAGAGACAAGAGGTCGATCGTGTAACGCGATAAGCGGCACCGCGGTCTGCGATTGATCGGGGTCCTGCACCGCATCGTGGACGTTTTCATCGCGTTCCGTGTAACTCGACCGACATGTACATATTGCATACGCGTAATTCGATAAGAAACTATTAAATAATAACAGAGGATTATACAACGCGCGGCCGTTGAAGGAAGCGAGCGTTGCCCGCGAAGAGAGATCGTGTGGTCGACAATGATTCACGGTGGTACCCGCTTGCTGGTCTACAAACATTCGCTGCCGGCTGATTCTTCTCTTATTCTGGATTGCTGAGAGCGCGTCGAGACCTAGCTTTTAGCCCTGTAACTTTGCGGGACCTGTTTATCGCTTGTTATTATGGTCTGTTTGGTGAAACAAGATACCGAAAATCGCTAACAATCGTGACAGTTGTCCGCTCCACTCTGTTGTTTCCACTGTGTCACAAGTACGAAGTACTACAGTGCACCGTGTTACTAGTCTCAATCGGTATTGTCGAAGTCCTTATATGTAGAGGGTGTCCCAAAAGTTGTATAGAATCGGGAAATGAGGGTGTCCCAAAATTATGTTCGTCCGGGTCATGCTCTTCCTGAGGTCATTTGAAGTAACTCTTTCCTTTACAAAAATCTTCTCCGAGGATTCGTTTACGAGTTATTAACGAAAAAACACTGACCAATGAGAAGCAAGCGCGGCCGCCACGCGCCAGCTGATCTCGCCTCTCGTTGGTTACTGTTTTTCGTTAATAACTCGTAAACGAAGCCTCGGAGAACATTTTTGTTAAGGAAAAGGTTACTTCAAAATGACCTCAGGTACCCTATTTCACGATTTTGAGTGACTTTTGGCACACCTTGTAGTGGTACCTTAGCAGTCTTTCTTTCTGTACCTGTACAACCCACCCTTATGCGTCTCCCAAGAGAGTTGCTGCGTACTGTCTGTCTCCAACTTATGTTATTCCAATGTGTTAAGAAGTAGAACCTTGTTGTTTATCCGTCGAGCAAACGATTTTAACTTAAATATTCAGACCGGTCTGATAGTAACCCCTAACAGTCCATCATGAAATTCGAGCGTCCGACGTTTAGCATTTGCTTGCTCGTATAAACGAGGTTCTGCTGTAAAGTCGGGGACAATTAGAAAGCTCGGTTACCGAGTTAAAAGCCGCCTTTAGCGGCGAGGATAGGGTGCAGACGATACCGATAGAGGAGAATCGACTATCAAGAGGGTGCCACCATACACACCCGGTGCTCCAATGTAATCTTGTGTCCCTGTGACTCGCGCCGCCTTTCCTCTGGATCGTAGAGAAATTGCCTTACTCTTCCAAAGTTTTCGGAGAACGCGAGACGATCTTCTTTCGTCTTCTCTGAACGGCGTCGATTAGATTGTCTAGCCTAGCATTAAGAGCAAACCACCCTGTACACCAAAATGATTGTTATGCCTGCGTGCCTTGCCGCTGGGACAAATATGATCAACCATAATCTCTACAAGGTGCCTATCTATATAAAACGATCTTGATTAAAGTGAGAAACGTCTCGAGGCTTCTTGTTGAACGTCCTCTACGAATAAGACCGACAAATTTCGTCGATCCCGGAACGGATCCGGCGAAAAAGAACGGAAGTTGCGCCGAAGTCTCGAAGTTAGCGCAATTTGAAGTTCGGGTTTTATTCAGAGACTTAATATTTGAAGCCGCGAGGACTGTGGCTAGTCTTGCTGAACTATGTTGTACAATTCCAGGACGGTTGACGTATTTGTTCCAACGACGGTGCACGGAATAAAAGCTTGTAACGCGTCGAATCCAAGAAATCTCGGTCAAGTAGGCATCCCTCGACCATAAGATCGACGGAACACCGTGTCCTCGGACCAGCGACTGTATGGAGGACGAAGATTTCCGAGGAGCAGGCCTTACCAGACCGCCTTCACAGGAAAAACAGTCGGCCCGACCGAATCATCGACTGGGTCGACTCGATATTTTGTTATGTACCGGACTGTTTCAGTGCGTTCTCGTGTAAAGACGAGCGATACCGTTGGTACCGATTAACACTGGACACTACCGAGGCAGTCAGAAAGTGACTGGTTTGTAATTTCCTCGAGATGGATAGGATTGTTGAGATTTCGCGCAAATAAATTTATTTAAGAATCCCCTCTCCCCCCATGATAGCACCGTCACCGATGCCAACGGCACGCGTAAACCGAGAAATCTGCAATTGGTCATTTTGTACCAATATGGTAGTTATAGGGTTCAAGGAACAAGACATTCGTGAATAGTATAGAGAAGGATATAGCGGTTACAAGAAACGTCGCGGACTCTCGAGTGTGTCCAAGATTAGCTTATCGTCGTGCCTAAATTTGTACGGAACATAGACCTGAACGTAGAATACAGACGTATGTCGACTAGACGGAATACAAATTTTCCTCCGTAACGTCGTGCGACGTTTCCCGACACGGTGGAAGCTCTTCTCTTAGCTTCGAATCGGAAACGCGACGATACGGAGGAAATATTGTAGTAGAATCGGAGAATCCCCGGGACCATGTGTATGAATAGCTGTATAGTGTTGGACGAAAGGCTCTGACCGATCAGAATACTGAAGACGACTGTAAATTTGCTAAAGACGATTAGAAGAGAGGTAAACACATTTCTTAGAAGACGACGGTACCTAAATCCGATTGACCTGTGAGATGTATCTTGAACGGCCAGAACCTTCCGCCCGTGGCAGAAAAGTTAAAGGCGTTTGATACGCGACGTAGCAACATTTATTACACTACAGTGTTCATAGTTCAGGAAAGGAATAAAACATATATTGTTACGCGACACAGTTTCGAGATTGACAGCGATCAGTACTGTAGGAACGTGATCGTTGATCCGAGTCTAGCGATTCCTCTATTGATTACAGTGCGTCAAAAGTGTATTCGATTCTGTTAAAATTCTTCTGAGAACGTAATAAAAAGCTGTTTATTATCGTAACATAAAACCTCACGGATCTGTAGCGTGAACGAGTGCACCCCTGTTTACACTCGAATCTTACCGTGATCGCGTTAGGCGAGCGTTTTGCACCCTGTGTGTGCGTTGTACTTTCATTTTGATAGCCAACGAGTGAAGTATAACTCGCAGATGTGTACTGTGCAAAGACGGAAAAACTTATTAGGCGCTAGATTATGAATCCGATTGGTTATCGGGCGAGTGTCGCGTCATTGGCTGAAATTCGAAGAGGGATGACATCCCCACCCAACCCCGTCTTTGCACAGTATAATACGGTACAGCGTTGCCGAATCGCTTGGTATAGTCATTGAATTTGCGCACACAGCATGGAAAATTCTCGCGTATCCGAAAAGCCTTAGACGCAGAAGTTCTGTCTGCGGTCTACGCGAGTTAATCGTGTTTAGGACTATCATCGCATCGGTATAATTGAAGTATCAAATATATTTTATTCAACATCAACAGTATTCCTTTCATTTTCACTTATTCCATGGGGATCGGGCGGGTTCGACGGAACCCGTCGGCCCACGACGCTTGTTCCAATGAAAAAAGAAACGTGGGTGTACTGTGAGAAATGTTTGCGTTGCAAAATAGAACCGATAACAAAGAGTACCGTTAGGTGTAATTAAAAAGTTCGCGTTATTAATCGTAAACATTTATCGTTAAGTGATTTTACACAGAGACCAATGTTGTACATTCCTAGACCGTGGGTGCGTGTACGCGACGCGGTAGAATACACAACAAATGCTTTTTAATAGTCGTCTCCGCGTGAAATAACTTCTTTACACGTCGGACGTAAGACCAAGGTGTGCTCGAACTGAGCGGTGTAGACGCCTTTGGCTTCGACCAACGGCGGGTACGCGTCGACTGCACCCTTGTCGCATAAATCCTTAAGCGCCATTTGGTACTTGGTGCAGCCAACACGGTCCAGCCACCGTTTGCAGAAAGCCAGAGTACCTGAAACACGAAGCTTGTTAAACATTTTATCTCGCAGACAGTTAACAGGTATCTAGAGCAAGACTTGGTGAACCAAATGCGTACTGAAATGTTTGTTGATAGTGTTCAACAGAGACTTGCTGCTCCGTAATCTCAGTGGTACAAAACAAGCGTCAAAACTCTTCATGTAATGGGAACAGTCCATGTCGTCGTGCACGATTCCTTTTCCAGTAGATCCAAACGTTTCGATAGCATAAAACTCGTTCTCTTCCATTCTTGTGGCCTCGCCACCCCTAACTATAGGCACTGTCTTACCAGAATGGATGCAATACGGGGCAATCGAGTGTCCGTTGAGATTCCTGATCGATTTTATCTGTGGATTTAGTATTAACAATAATAACAGCAATTCAATTTGTAACGAATAGGACGGAACATAGATCTAGCGATCAAACCTGATGAGTTTTGCCATTCAAATCGATTTCATACGACTCCATAACTTCCTGGATAGCAGCACCGACGTCACAAAGTTGGACATCTATACCAGCTGCCTGAATTCCAGTGTTCGTAGCGTCGCGAACCGCTTCGATCAATTTGTCATATTTCGGATTGAACGTGACGGTGAACGCGCAATCGATGATCCTGCCGTTTATGTGTGTTCCAAAATCAATCTTGGTAACATCGTCGTATTCCAAAACGGTCGGGTCACCGCTGTTCGGTGTATAGTGAGCTGCGCAGTGGTTTCTGGAGCAGCCGGTCGGAAAAGCAAGTCCAGCTTTTAGACCATTCTCCCCGATCAGTTTCCTAGCTGTGTCTTCGAGTTCGTTACAGATCTCTATCATTGTCATCCCAGGTTTAATCTACAGAAAATAGAATTATAATTTTAGAGAATTTCAGCTGGAATGATATCTGCTTGCGATTAATGATTTATAGTGGCTGTAATAGCAATACCCAGTTCATAATGTGCTTTCTTGTTTGCCTGTGGGCTTCAGCCGCCTGTCTGGCCTCATTGTAGATATCATTATTCATTCTATCGAATGCACGCGCTTCTTCGCTATTAAAGCGCTCCTTTGCCATTCTGTCATCTACTCCTGCCGCAGGAGGATGCTCCATTATTTGTCCCTCTGGGAAATTCCCATCAGGGAATAGCTCTGCCACTGGAACAGTCGGAGGATCTGTTTGCTGTTTCACTCCTCCTTTGCCGCGTGGCTTGCGCTTCTTCTTCTTCTTCTTCGTCTCCTCCACTTCACCGTCATTTTCTGCGACTTCTGTAGCACCTTCCGGAACAGTTTCTGGAGTAGCTTTTGTACAATATCATGTATTTCACAATTGTTTCTAAAAATAATTTTTTAGATTGTGTTTTTAAATAACACATACCTTCCACAACTGCAACATTTTCCTTCACATTATCCTCTTCTCCTCCTTCAGGGACATCTGCACTGGCTTCACCAGCTCCTAAAAATTTGTATTTGATAAATAAAGTATTGACAATGTTATACATTCTGGAACATCATTATCTTAATTTCTTATCTAATCATGGTTGTTTACTTGCTCATATCAAATTCACAAGTCCACATTTTGTGCATTTATTTTTGGCTAATATTACATAATTGATGGAACATGAAAATAGAATTTAAAAAAGAAATGTAACATGGAATGTACAAATAAGTGGAAATAAGTGGAATAGTTAATACAATCGTATCACAAGAGTTGATTACCAAGGAAAGTCCTTGAAAAATGAAAGATAACAGGAAGTGAGGCAGGTGTAAAGTGAGTTCCAACACTTTGCCAGTCTTAGCGAATTTAATCGTACTTGCTCCGTTTACTGGTCTCCGATTCGTGAATTGTAATCGAGTCGTGATAATTTGGTAACTAAGAGATGCGAGATATTGGAAATCTATGGTATTATTTTTGTCGGTGAAACTTCTAAAATAAGGCACGACACGCGCTGAATCCTACGCTTAAACGACCTAGCATATCCCCGTTAAATGAATTGAATAACGCACCAGCTTTCTTCTTCTTTTTCTTCTTTTTGCTTTTCTTCGATGCTTCTACTGCACCAGTTTCATTCCCTTCGTCGACGATTTCGTCTTTTACATCATCTACTAATTTTTCGGCAGATTTGCCGACTTCGTCCAACACGGCGGCCATTTTCGAAAGGAAACCAAACAATGTTAAACCATGGATGAGACGTGGGATAGACTGAACATCTTAAAAACTTTCGATCTCGTGTGCGTACACGATGCGTCCCACTCTGGCCAACTATTTTCCTGTGACACAGGCTTAATGTATCATGGAAACGATCGTGAAACTTTGTGTTACCAAGTGAAAAAGATTAGCCATCAGAGTTGTGCAGATTTACAATTGTATTACTCAAGAAATTATAATTACAATGTAACTCAATTAAATTACATAGTAATTCGTAATTCAGATCTCCGTTCAATTAAATGACAACATAATTTGCAATATAATAAAAGTACAATTACAAAATACATATTTTATACAATACACAATTACATTCATTACGAATTATAAATGTAAGTGATTAAAATGACGAACCAAAAGATAATAATAGGTAATAAGAGGTTGAAAAAAACCACGTGGAGGTTTCAAACAGTAGAATATATTATTGTTGTGTCCTTTATGTACAGTTATTCTCATAAATAACAACTTAAATTAATGCGTTATGTGCAAGTAATAATTAAACTTTTTATTTCAATTTCGCTCGCGATTAAAATAATTAGTAATTGAATTGACTGAAAGACTTCGCAAGTGTAGCGAATATGTACTCGGGTATTACCGCGCGAAATTCAAATCATAATATTTCGGATTAGTACAAGTCTTATTCTTCTACGAATCCTTATAACTAGACTGCGGATTTTACGCGTCTGACAAAATTGACTAGATCAAAAACAAAGCTGCAAAGTTATTAAAAGAGTTTGAGAATATTTTTGTTATATACAGTTTAATAAAATTATTACAAGAGGAAAAACATTATTATCTGAGTCATGTTTTTTACGATTACCTCAAACATTTTTTATTTCACATAAAAATCCGCAGTCTACTTGTAGCACTATACTCTTCTGATAGCTCAAATGTTTCTTCTGTTTCTATAATTTCTTGCTTTCATTGTAATATCAGGAACAATTGAATACCGTGCTGTAATAGATTCGCTTATTTAATTCCTTGCAGAAGACAATTAGTACCGTGCACCACCATGATTTTTATTGCTCAAACATTTTACGACTTTTGAACGAAGAAATAAAACGCAGAGAATTTATTACAAATGTACTTAATTTAATATGTATACACATTAAGTTCGCAGTTGCAAATTTAAAATTATAGTTAATATAAGTTGCGTATAAAATGCGTGTAAAATGAGTGTTTACAACATGACTAATATTTTTAATAAAGACATTAAATTGTGTCACTTGGACACAGACAATGCTAGATCTCGTTCAAGTTATCTTGGGACTCTCTTCTCTTTCTCTTTGTTTTCGACGCGTGGTTTCTCCTGGCTCATGTTTCAGCTACTTGGATCATCTTCTTTTAATGGAAGGGAATGTAAATATTTATTAACTAGGTGTGAAACAAAGTTGTCATAGTTTATTTGAACAACGAATAAAATTTTATTCGTAGAATTTAGTCGAAATATTTGAATAAAATTTTAATTGAAGAATTTATTCGAATAACATTTTAGTCAAAGAATTCATTCGAAAAATTTTGTATCACACAGATTTGAAGGTAATCAGTGAAACTTAGGAAACTTGTTGATTGAGCATCCTAGAGATCAAGGAACTTGAAAGAAATAAAAAGTAATAGATGATAAGACAGAACTAAAAATACAGTTATTTCAAAAACATGTTGAATTGTATGAAAAAAAGACAATAGTGCATACATACCTACTCAGTCTTCCACATCAGATTCAAGAATGCTGGGAGAGTTTGACGATAATAAACAGAGTAGCTATGGCACTTAGACATAGGCAACATTTCTTTGAAACTTTCTTTTCTCTCTCGTACTTCAGATGCTCAAACCACCTTCGTGCAAGTTTGGATATACCACAGAGAAATCGATTCAGTTTTCTATAAACGAAGACTATTTTTTAATTTTTGCCTATTTTTAATTTTTCTTTCTTGCTTGGTTTGCGATGCATTAGTTACATATCAAACTTTGATGTTTGCTCCACTTTCTTTCAGCAGCAGCAAACATATTTGTAAAAGTTGTTGCTATTTCTTCGCTTTCAAGAACTTTTTTTCCCAGTAGGAAGTATGTCAGCGGCTACCTCCATTCATTTTCAGGATTTAAACTGCTGTTTAAGCCTCTGAAGACAAACACATATTGTGCTTTTTTGTCACATTGCGACCACCTAAAATTCCTAAGTCAATAAATCCCTCTAAACAGTTTACTGACATTTCATTCCACTATAATGTGTACAGTCTGTGCTCTGGTGGCAGTTCAAACAATCGTGTTTGAATATCTTGAAAAGTATTCTTTGGAAAGCCAGCGTTTAAATTATAATTTCTAATCCACCGCCTTTTCTCAGTTGTTTATAAACTGACGGTGAATTATAAAATATCATTCTTGCCAAATTTTGTTCCTCCATACAGTATTCATTATTTGTTAGCATGAGTCCAAATTTCTATTTCGTACTTACCCATTCGTCTAATGCTTGAGCTTGTGTAGTTTGCAATCTGTGGGTTACCTATTGAAAGATAAGTAAAGATTAAAGTATATTTGTTTAACCTACGATAA